ATCATGATGTTGACAAGACAACTTTATATCAGTTGGTCAGCTTTTTCAGTTCGACAAGACAACGCACACATAGCGGACTATCTAATGGCGCTATACTTTGCGTGTTAAATATCATGATGTTGACAAGACAACTTTATATCAGTTGGTCAGCTTTTTCAGTTCGACAAGACAACACACACATAACGGACTATCTAATGGCGCTATACTTTGCGTGTTAACTATCATGATGTTGACAAGACAACTTTATGTCAGTTGGTCAGCTTTTTTAGTTCGACAAGACAACGCACACATAATAGACTATCTAATGGCGCTATACTTTGCGTGTTAAATATCATGATGTTGACAAGACAACTTTATGTCAGCTGGTCAGCTTTTTCAGTTCGACAAGACAACACACATAACGGACTATCTAATGGCGCTATACTTTGCGTGTTAAATATCATGATGTTGACAAGACAACTTTATATCAGTTGGTCAGCTTTTTCAGTTCGACAAGACAACGCACACATAATAAATATACAGATAATTTTATTAAATTATTATTTAAATAGGTAAAATGGGAAAGTACAAATAATAGTTAACAAGCATAATTTTATTTCATAAATCTTGCAACATAGACATAACAACTAATTATTACAACATCAACTCATGGGTAGTTAGGTACACTAGAAGAACACCCACCACGAGTTTGATTAGTTTTGCCACCCAATCCAACTGAAGGACATTTACGACGGTCGTGTCCTGTTTGCGAGCATATACCACATTTGCGCGCATAAACAGTGTCACTAATATCCATTTGGTTCCGTATACGTGTTCTCTTTTGCACCTGTCTTTTATGCAAATAGGACTTGTTACACACCAGTTTAAATGGTTTCGGAGGCCAATAATGCTCAGCACCCACTGGCTGCAACTGACCACTATATGTGTTTAGGTACTTGGAAACACTATATTGTTGATCAACATAGTTGGTCTCCGCATAACCAACACGTTGAAAACACTTGATGGCATGTGATCAAGGCATGTGGTAGATGGACCATTTCCCACAGGAGCATAACCTTATAGATTCATTTACAATATGTATATTATTACCCCGATTATTATGGATAACGGTGCGAACTTCAAAAATACCTCTTTCGTTATCATACTGCAAAAATGAATGCCAATGTGCTCGCCGTCTGTATTTCTCAAATCTCTTCATAGGCACTGGCATAAATTCAACACCCCTCTCCATCAATTCCATTGCAGCTGTAGACCGTTGAACAAACCTATCCGCCATCTGCTTGAACTACATCCGCGCCATGGCTGTGACGGGCAATCCTCTTGCCGACTTCAATAACCCATTGAAGGACTCTGATACGTTTGTAGTAAGAATTCCCCATCGTCTGCCACCATCCGCATGCAACGTCCACTTTTTAGGGTCATTTCGCATTAACCAATGATAGGCTGCCTCGTCTTCTTGCCTGATAGAATCCATATGTCTCCGGAATTTATGCTGTTGGTGGTCTGTTGCTGCCATCCACATCAAATCATATAGATCCTTGTTGGGATGTGCCTTTTGGAAATTGGCCTTAAAGTGCCTCACACAGTAACGATGGTATGCAGAAGGTTCTTGCCATGCAGGCAAGTTCTCCACAGAACTTAATATACCACCGTGCCGATCAGATATTAAACAAATACCTGAACGCTGTTTGACAACGTGCTCTTTCATGTAGTTCAAAAACAACGTCCACGTCTCTGTGATTTCATTGGCACAAACAACAAAAGCTAGAGGAAATATGTGTCCATTAGCATCCACTCCCACAGCTATCAATAGCTTGATATCGTACTTTCCATAGACATGAGTTCCGTCTATGGATATTACTGGCCGGCAATGCGAAAAACCATCAATTACTGGCTTAAACGCCCAGAACATGTAATTGAATATGTATTCTGGTGTTTCCGGACTCTGCTCAAGCTTCCATTCAACAACTGTCCCGGGGTTAAAGTGCTGCAGTACGGCCATGTACTTTGGCAGAGATGCAAATGACTTATCCCAATTACCGTAGACAATTTCAAACGCTCGTTTGCGCCCGAGAAATGCCTTTCTTTTCGTAATGGTATGGCCATATTCATGGTGGACCGATGTAATGCACTCTTTGATTGTATACCTTATGTACGCTTCGATATGCGGAATAAGTACAAGAGAAATCAAGTCAATATCCAAGTTGAAGTGATTCCCGTTGAATGTGTCCATTTCGCATGTGTGGGTGGGAATGTATTTACCCACTTTCCACATACCTGTCTTCTTCTTGGTCGCACGCAACATCCAATTACATGGCCAAAACCACCTGCGGCAAACAACCTTGTATACCATCGGACTTGACTCCCATACCTGCATCTCACGACACTCTTTTACGTTGTGCATTTTACGAGCCCTGCTTAAGCGCGTTTTATCAGGAAGAAACATCCCCTTTGCAAGCACCGTTGGTCTAGACTCATCCCATATTGCTGTCCGGATTTCATCAAAATCTCTTGTTAGAGCTTCCACATCCGGCACGGTTGGCAAGTTATCAATGTAAGGAATCTCCCTTGAATGAAACGACACTTCGGACTCATACACTCTTCGTCTAGCGGGGTCTCTCTTCAAATCAGGTCCTTCATCCTCATCCTGCTCATCACCATCCTCACGAAAAAAGGGTGTCTCATCTCCGGATTCATCGGCATTGTTATCGTAATCACTGTTCTGTTCCTCACACTGTGCATCTGCCAGATCCCGATGTAATACGTCGTTTTCGGTCAATTGAGTGAGTACGGGTGGTTCAACTTGCTCGTTTTCACTGCACAACCAACAAATATATAAGCTACTGAATTAATAAATGATTTCCATATGGCTATATCATTTCACTTACAAGTCGTAATGTGATGAAATTTCATGATGGACGTTTTTAATTAAGTGATGACTATCGGATAGGCCACCTGTAAAATTCATATCCGGCCGGTACCCCCTATTAAATATATGAGCGTTAATACAAATTCAANCAGCCGGGATTTTTTTTATATAGGTATAGAGCCCAAAAAGTTGGCACTATACACTTTTGAATTATTGAAGTCACGAATTATTGGTGGGGCCAGGAAAATCTATGTATAGCGCCACTATACCTGATGCTATACATTAATGATGTATGTATAGCGTCAGGTATTGTGGCGCTATACCTGGCCATGGTAGATTTTACAGTATAGCGTCATAATACCTGACGCTATACTTTAACGGTACCGTTACTGTTAGTATATAGCGCCAGGTATTATGGCGCTATATATAAAAAGGTCATTTTTTTTACCACCTATTTGTGTAGTTTGAGTCCAAAAGAATCACATTTTGGTTCCGGACTCCATCTGAAAGTGGGAGAGCTGATTTTGAGGAAATGTATCAAAATATACTTGGTACAAAGTCAGGAGAAACATGTACTAATAGTTTCTTTTTGTGGCAAAGAAGATGTAAGAAAACTAACGTATGAATATAATATAACTTTATCAAAGACAAAGAAAAACCTTACATATACTTTCACTAAAAGAAAACTTTGAGAAATTGGAATTATTGGGATGGCAAAGATTATTTTGTCGGACAGTCAATTAGCTAAGGAGATAGCAACTACGGTTTGCCCCCTCCCCTGGCTTCGGACTCGTTCCTTCAATTTAAATTAAGCATTTACATTTGTTGTATCATCTCGAGATAGCAACATTTATCCCACAAAATAAGAATTTTAAAATTCGTAAATAGAAGCACATGATCGCCTTATAGGAGTATTTTTTTTATATTTAAACTTCGAACTATCTTCTATTATATTTTATTATAACACTACGAAGTCAACATATATTCAAAAAAAAAAATTCCTTTTATAAATTAAAATACTAACATTCAAAAAATTTCCCTCTTATTAGTAAAGTGCGTATCGGATTAAGATAGTTCAACATGACTAATAAAGAATACACCGTATAAAAAATCTAAGTAAACAAAATACTACTGATATAGTACAAAATTACTAAGTATATCACTCGTGTTCTAATTAAATTTTTAATAAGAAGTTGGACATCAATTCTTTTGGGAATAAAATAAACCGTATATAAAACTTATTTGAAATGTATTAAGTAAAATAATATTTTTCTTATATAAATCCTTACTTTTTTGCCGAAGTAAAATTAATATCCAAACACAACTACTTCGAATATCCTTTTTTAATTTCAACTTCAAATACGTTTTTCACTTTAATTAAATAATATAAATGTATATAAATGACACCTCAAGCCAAAGGTAAACCATATTTCGAAGATTCCACTTACACTTAAGAGTAGTTTAGTAGGATCTATTAGGTAACATAATATATAAATTAGCTTTGATATTATTAATTCATCATTTGATAGTATTTTTCAATCTATCTATAGCTAATACTTGTATTGGCTATGCACACTTATACTTAGCAAATAATAGCATTACAAATACCATAATTTTAATACATCAACAAACATATATAAAGATAAAACTATTATTTCAAAACCTTTAATACACCAAACCAAATAGTAATCACAGCTTTATTAATTCTAATATTACTTATACGCCACACTCACTGCTATTTTTATACACCCTACCAGACGACTCTAATATTAATTCTAATATTACTTATAAGGCTAAGCTTCATTGGCATCACAAAAGGATCTTCAATTTTGGCAAACACGCAATGGAGGGAAAATGGGAAATAAATCCAAAATAAATGAGTCTCCCTCCAAAATTACAATTGGTCCTCCTCCTCGTCCTTACCTGGGAAACGAAAAACAAAAAGATCTGCAAAAGTAATACAACCCTCCAACTCCTAAAACCCCCAACCCGACTCTCTCAGTAAAAACCCAAATCGCCCTAATCACACACTATATTCTCAGCTGATTTTAACTCTCAAATGGAAATACAGTAATACTTGTCCTGTATGATGTTACTGGTCCACAGATTTCATAATACTGAACTTTCTTGGTAAGACTTAATTTCTTTTGCATTTTTAAATCATTTGGTATTTGTTAGTATTACTTTTTTTTCTTTCTAATTTCTGGTTTTAATTGTAGGGTTTTTTAAGTTATTGATTTCATGGTTTTTGTAAGTAAAACCTAATTTTAGCAACCAAAAAAAAATAAAAATTCAAGATGGAAGAGGGGTTGAAAGGAAGTACCATGTGTAGTACAATGAAACATGAGTTGGATTTGAATAGGGATCCGTCTGAGCAAATGGAGCCTACTTTGACTTTGACTGACTCAGTTTCTAAGCAAGATCTTGATTTAAATGAGTCTATCACAGAAGTTTGTGAAAATGATGATGAGTGTGATGTCCCTAAATGTGTCATTGCTGATGTTGACTCTGAGAAGGCTGAGGGAATTGTTGGTGAAGTCGGGGACGAAGACCCGCTGATGCAAGTGAAGCTTCCGGAGAAGAATCGAGTGGACATTGTTGTTGGGAGGCAGCGAGGAAGAAAAAAGAAGGTGAAGGATTCAACAGAGGATAAAACTTCCTGTCAGGTGGAGCTTGAAAATAAGGGTTTATCTTTGATGTCGGGCACGTCGAGGCCTTCGGAAGAAAGAAAATATGAGGAGGGAACTGCTGTTGAAAATGGCGAAGTAATTAAAATTAATGTAGCTTGTGATGGTAATGGTGAGCCGCATGGCGAGGTTGATACCAGTAAGGGCAGAGGGCGGAGGGGGAGGAAAAAGAAGGAGGTTAAGGATTCAAGAAAGGATGATGTTTCTCATGATGGTGACTTCCTTGAAAGAGGACTGATTTCTAATGGCTCGGTATCTCTTAAGGGAGAGTCAGGTGTTTCTTCACCTGGAAGACAAATTGAGCAGGGAATTCATGATCTGGTGGGTGTTGAAAGAGGGGAAATAACAAAGATTTCGGAGAGCAGCATTGATGACATTAGCCAAGTGCAAGATAAAAGCAATGATAAGAGCGAGAAGAAGCCTGGGAAGAGAGGCAGAGGAAGGAAAAGAACTGAAGCTGAGGCTTCTGAATGCCACGATAACGATGCCACTGCCGGTGAACAAGTTGATGCCAGTAGTGATGAAGCCAAGATTAAGGTACGCAAGAGAGGTAGAGGGAGGAAAAGAAAGGATGCGGAGGATGTTGAGCTTCCTGCTGATGATCAAGTCAAAAGACAGAAGGTGAATACAGTGCTTTCTATGGGTCAGTTTAAAAGGGTCTTGAGGTCAGGTACAGTGGCTGTTATTGATGGTAAGAAGCATGTTTTTGGAGTAAAGGATGCAGGTGTGTCCAGTTCAAAAACAGAGAACAACATTGATCCGTCTGGCATGAAAATACTCAAGGCAAGGAATGATGTTAATGCAAGACTGATAGAGAGGGGAAAGCAAAAGCCGAAGGGCCGTCGTGGAAGACCTCCAAAGATGCAAGGGACCAGTAGCCAAAAAGACAAATCGAGGGGTCCCAAGAGAAGCATGAACGATGAAAAGGCCGACGGTCTTGTTAAGGGCTCAAAGCATCTCAAGGTGAATCAGACAAATGGCGTCGAAGAGGCTCTTGGGTACGAGGAAGGCACTGAACAAGCAAATGCTGAAGTTAATAACGAGGGTCCTGGAAATGATGGAAACAAAAGGCTCAGCAGTGATCCATATCATGATAAGCAGAGTAAGTCGAAAGGAAGCAAGACTGAGGTGAAGGAATTTGGTGTTAGGGAACAAAAGCAGGCAGTTAGAGAGCAGATAATCGATATGCTTATGAAGTCAGGTTGGACTGTTGAGTACAGGCCCAGGTTAACAAAAGATTATAAGGACGCAATCTGGTATGATCCGGAAGGAAGACAACATTGGTCAGTCACTTTGGCATACAAGAGGCTTAAAGAGAGAGTTGAAGCTGGAGCTGCTGATGATAAGACCAGGTCTGCATTTACTCCTATACCGGAGGATGTATTCAGCACACTGTTCAGAGGTAGGAAAGAAAAAGAGAACAAGGGAAAGAAGAAGCAAAAGGTTGTTGGATGTAAAACAAGCAAGAAAATGACCAAAAAGAAGCAATCTGCCAAAAGCAACTTAAGTTTTGGAACCAAAACAGGAAACAGCTTAAGTGTGGCAGTAAGGAGGAAAAAGTTGGGAGCAAATACAGAAGACGGAAAACGCAGAAAGCCCTGTGCTCTTTTGGCACGGAGTTCCAAGGGAGGAGGGGTTGATTCAGATGGTGATGAGTTTATACTGTATGATGGGAAGCGAACTCTTTTAGCGTGGATGATTGATTTAGGGGTTATTCAATCTAATGCACAGGTGCACTACATTTATGGTGGAAGGAAAAAAGTGAAGCAAGCAGGAAAGATCACAGGAGATGGAATTTGTTGTGGCTGTTGTGGTGAGACACTTAAGCTTGCTGATTTTGAATCCCATGCTGGAAGCGAGCTGGGTCAGCCATTTCAGAATGTGTTTCTGCAGTCAGGACAGTCTCTTTTGCAATGTCTGGTGGACTCATGGAATAAACAGAATGAAATTGATCGTATTGGTTTTCATTCTGTGAATATTGTTGGTGATGACCCAAACGATGATACATGCAACATTTGTGGTGATGGGGGTGACTTGATATGTTGTGATAGTTGCCCCTCAACTTTCCACCAAAGCTGCTTAGATATTCAAGTAAGACACGTCTTCTTCCACCTTTTTATTCCTGTGCTTTTTTCCCTTTTGCATTGGCTTAGTTTACTTCAATCTATGTTCAAAGAATCTGATAAATTCTCCTGTCACGTCTGTTAGTCTGAAAAGAGTCAAGTATAGTGCTTTTTTTCTTCTTAAATACTTTTTGAGAATTTTAAGTTTTAAGTCATATATGTTAGGATCACTCTACTAATTGGTTTTCTAGTTGAGATTTTGTCTAGGTTGTGCCATTCCACTTCAAGGTTCGATTAGGTTTAAGAGGAAACAGAAAACCTTCTAGCGCCTTCTAATCAATATGCATAGCAAAATCCCCTTATTGCCTCCTCATTTTTGCCCAAAATGTAGACCTTTGCATTTTGGCATAACATTAACATGTTTTTTACGTAGGTGGGATATGGTGTAAAACTTGTTAATGGAAGTGTACCAAAGCTCTAGTAGGACTGCCCGTTTTATTTGTATGATGGAGATTATATTATGCCCTCCTGAAGTATTGTTGTATACAGAATACAGGGCTAAGAATTCTGTTTAATCTATTCATTTGGAGTTGAGTCTTGCGAGTTTTTGCAAAAATCAACCAGCAACTGTACGACTCACCTAGCGGGACAGTTGGCAAAACTCGTATGAGGAAAAACAATGACTTTTGAGGTGCATTTTGTTCAGTCTTATTGAGTACCACATGCATGAGTTTTACTGCCAATGGTGTTGCTGATATGGTGTTTTCACATTGTTATTGACCAAGGAATTTTAAGATAATATACTTCATTGTTATTCGAAGGGGAGCCTTGGAGCAACGGTAAAGTTGTTTCCGTATGACCTATAGGTCACGGGTTCGAGTTGTGGAAGCAGGCACTAATGCTTGCATTAGGGTAGACTGTCTACATACACTCCTTGGGGTGTGGACCTTCCTCGGACCCTGCATGAGCAGGGTGCTTTGTGCACGGGTTGCCCTTTATACTTCATTGTTATTCACCAGGGTATTGTAAGATAATATGCTTTTTAAAAAAAAAAATTCAATTGTCACTTCCATTTTGATACAAACTAATTTACTGCTTTTCTTGAACTAAATTTTGTAATTTTGACTTAACGTATTCATCTATAGAATTTCCGTAACAATCAATATATAGTTCTACTGGCTATATTTATCATTTAGTGTCACCCTATCTCAAGACAAAATTCGCAAGCGTTACTTTGTCGGATAGGTTATCCACGGGCTTAGTTAATTAACCTAACTTAGAAAATCATCTGGTTGACTGGTTTCTGTTGAAGAGAGGAAGCGCCAATCAACATTGTGCCTCACTTCAAGGTTTAAATGCACTTCAAATGCACTATTGAGAATGCTGAAAAATTCAGGAAAATCAGACAAATTTCAATTGATAATAAAGCAGTTGGAGTTTACTAGTACCATAAACAGATTGTTTGAATTTTTTGTGTCTAAACTTCATTATTTCTGAGACTAATAAACTTTATGTGAACCTGTAAATTTCTTTATTTTGGAGTGCTTTGGAATTTTTATTTTATTTTTCATTTTTTTTACCCCTCCTAGGAACTCCCCTATCTTGCTCCCCTGGTGACTCGATCCCACAACCTCAAGGTTGGAGGAAAAAGGTGCTCTTGTCGAGTTCTTTAGAATATAATACATCATATATCCATGATATCTTTTTCTTTTCAAAATTATTCTTTATATGTATTCCTTACACATACCGAAGCAAAAAGTATGTTTATTCATCAAAACCATTTGGTAATGGGCATTTAATGGAATCATTTCACACCACACAAAAAGGTAAAAAAGTTACCTTTCCTATGGTTGAATATTCACCATTCTGGCAGATACAGTAGCTACAAATCTGGCAGCCAGTAAGTTGGTTCAGAGTTTGACTTAATTATCCCAGCTGCCAAAAGCCTGTGGCATCAAGAAGTTATTGCAAATCTGTCTTTTTGCTACTTGTTGTACACTTCTGTCAAAGTGTAAGCAGTTAGAAATCACAGAGAGATAGCTTGGTGACAAGGACCCTACACCTTCCTCCATGAGGTTGGAGGTTTGAGTCACCAATGGAGCAAGATGGGAAATGAGTCATGACCACTGTTTGGCTCTTGGATAGGTAGAGAGGTTTACAATATAAAACAAGATTGAAATAGAAGTATAAGCAGTAGAAAGGATGAGGTCTGCCCATGGGAATATATTGCATATTCTTTTGTTTGTTCTAGAAGATAGTAGTGGCTTTGATAGCCAATATATGGCTTTACTTTTTGTTCCGCAGCCACAATCTGGGTCGTATTACTTATAAAAAAAATAGTATTGCCTCAATTAGGTGGTATAATTAAGTAGTGGATGATGGTTGTCAGAATGAGGTTACAGAAGTTTCTGGACCACTTATTTGACAACTGGGTGAAGCAATAGTCAGTCTAGACACGTTGCAACTCTGGTGCTTTCATAAACTCTCCCGACTAACTCCTAAAATCGTTGAGCAGAATTATGTCTTACTATCTTTGAATTTGTTGCAGAAGTTGCCTTCTGGAGATTGGCGATGTGTTTATTGTTCATGCAAATTCTGTGGGACATTTGTCAGAAAATCCTCAGAGAATGATGTTCAGGACGACATGCTAGTCTCTGAGTTGTTGACATGCCATTTGTGTGAGGGAAAATGTATATTTCCAAATCCCTTTTTTGTAGTTATTTTTTGCCCTAAATTTGTAGAATGTATTGATGGATGAAATATACGAACATATTGGCTTTGGCTTTTGCAGTCCATTTGCCTTGTGTCCCTGGTGACGATGCTCTGGATTTTGATTCTAAAGATCTAACATTTTGCGGAAAGGGATGCCAGAAGGTATTGCACTTGTCCACTTAAATACATTGCAGTTTCTGCAACTTCAAGATCACATTATTATTAATTAACCGTGAAGAAGTTTTTCAGTTCCATTTATCTGTCACATGCTATTAATGTAATCTGGTGAAAACAGAAGAGAGAAGTTGCCATATCATCTCCATTCTCCGGTGTATAATTATTATGTGGAGTACATTACAACTAAGATAATGTTTATCTCACAGCTAGTGGTGAGGTCTCACTTGATCCAAGACCATGCCATAAGCTGGAATGTTATCTAGAACTTTCTTCCTCCGACCTAATAGTAAACTATATCTGTACAATTTATTCATACACATACACATTAGTTTCTATGCAGTGAAATAATCTCATACGTTCTTCAACAGATTTTTGAGGGCCTGCAGATGCTTCTTGGTGTAAGGCATGACATGGATGAAGGATTTTGTTGGACACTTCTTCGACATCGTGATTTTGGCAGGGATATAAATTTGAGTGATGATCCAGTTGAAATTGAGTGCAATTGCAAGTTAGCTGTTGCTTTCTCCATTATGGATGAGTGTTTTGTGCCCATTGTTGACCAGCGAAGTAAAATCAATATAATTCAGAGCGTTGTTTATAGCTGCGGGTGAGAATCTTTGAAGCTGTGATAACATAATGTTCTGATGATTTTTTATAAGCGAAAGCATAATTGCTGTCTATGCATGCTTTGTATGTTGGAGTAATGTCATTTAAAGAATTCCGTATAGAGTTTGTTATTTTCATTTAGTTCCAGATATTGCTGATTATTGGATTACAGAAGCCTCTTAAACTTTTACCTTATCAAAAGAAAAAAAAAAGATTACTGAGTCCTCTTGTCCAGATGGCTTTAAAACAACTAGTAGTCTTCCTGCTCAAGCTAAAAGCTTCTATATTTTTCTTGTTTTCTCAAATCATCCAAACACATCAATACCAGAGACTATTTTTAGTTTTGTTCACTCAAAATGCTACTTTTCCTTTTCAATGAATTCCAAATTTTGATATCATCTTTTTGTACTGTAGTTCTTGTGAAAAGTTGTTTTTGTTTTAATGTTACAGTTTCTTACCGTACACTAAATGATTCCAGTTTTGGTGTACACTGGTGATTAAGAAACTTATCTTTTTCAGATAAGTTGATTAAGAAACTTATCTTTGATTTCTCTTGTGATACCAGGTCAAACTTTAGGCGAATGAACTACCACGGGTTCTATACTGTTATTCTGGAGAAGGGTGATGAACTTATCTCTGCTGCATCCATAAGGTGAATATTAGTTGAGTTTCTTAGTCTTCGTTGGATTGTTTCTTACTCGTGCTGATCATGGTTCTGTATATCTCTGCTGCATCCATAAGGGTGATTAACTTTTGATTATCGGCCATAATGCTTTTGACGTGTTCCAATTTGGCATTTGATGATGTGGCCATCTCTTCATGTGCTTAATTGATGCTAGAAAAATTTGCAGATGTGGTATCTAGTATTATTTGAGTTTGCTTCTCTTTTGTATTCATGGATTGTATAATACCAACTCAAAATGATTCTACTCTATAAATAGGATTCATGGGAACCAGGTTGTTGAGATGCCATTTATTGGAACACGATATATGCATCGTCGTCAAGGAATGTGCCGTCGGCTTCTCACTGCAACTGACACGGTATGATTATGTATTAGCTAGTTTGATGCTCTTGTTTTTAAAGTTGCATTCTAGTTCTCCTTATCACAATAAAGAAAAAGAAAAAGAAAAAGAAAAAGAAAAAGAAAAAGAAAGGACGAGTTGCATTCTAGTTCTCTCTACTCGAAGTATTTTTTGATGGTTTTATATACTTTACAAGTATAATCTTCTAGCATTCTTTCAATAGACTGACATGATTGAGTTACTGGTGGTAAATATATCTATAGATGAAAGGTCCTTTACTAATGAAAATAATCTATAGATGAAAGGTAAAAGAATTTTAAGAAGGGCCTTGTTCTTTTATAACGTTTACGAGTATTGGCTCATACCTTTGGAAGCTAAGATGTTTTGTCCCGGAGTCTCTTAGAAAATGTGAAATTTGGGTTTATTTCATTTTATGTTTGAATTTTGTTGTTTGTGATTTCAAGATTCATAGATATATTAATCTTAAGGAAAAAAAAACATATTTGACCCTAACCTTGTCCCTAAACTCTCATACACACCTAAGCATTGTGGGTACCCCTTCACCTCCTTAATTGTGTTTGAACCTAATAGCACCCCAGGAAATCAAATTTACTCTGAGAATTTGATATGTTGACCCTTGTATTTTGAACCCACCTTTATTTTCTGTGATGGAGGGAGTATATTAATTTTACTGTTAAAGAGCTTTCGATGAGTCTTTGCAGCAAAACCTTTTTCTATCAAGCTGATTGATTTTACGAATTTGAACTTCTGAACATTGGCAGTGCTTGTTTAACCAGTGTATGAGTCTGAGTTCTACATTTGAACCCATTCCTATAAAGCTGAGTCATTCTGTAAGATCCTCCAGAACTTAGTGAAGGTACCATGCACATGATACCAACATTATCTTCTCCTTCCTCCCTTAGTCTTCTCTTTCTAACTAGATTTCAAGATTCCCTTGTAGTCAACAAGGCCAAAAATATAATCGGGAGTACAGAATACAGGCTTGGTGTCATTAGGTAGAGGAACAATGGTGAAGCAGCCACATTTGTGACACCACAAGATGTTACAAATGTTATCAACTTACATGCATGGAATCCTATGTTATTTGTATGGAAATGTGGAGTTGATTAATCTACATGTGTTTTGTAGTCCTCTGGAGTCAAAAGTGTTGTAATTGCTCTTCAGCACCTATCTGAAGTCTTTCTTGTTGAAACTCTTGTCAGGCTCTTTGTTCTCTTGATGTTGAGAAGCTGGTTATACCTGCTATACCAGAACTTATTGAGACATGGACAAAGGTTTTTGGTTTTACACCCCTTGAAAAATCAAAGAGACTGGGGATGAAGTATATGAGTATGATAGTGTTCCCTGGCACGGATATGTTACAGAAGCCTCTATTGAAGGATCAGTTTAGTGAAGGCCAAGGTACTTCAACAAGTATCTTTTTTATATATATACACACACACACACGCGCTTATCTATGCTATCTATCTTTTCAAGTTCTTTGCTTCTCATGATGCTTTATTACATTGAACTGACAAATCAGCTTCAATATTTGCTCTAGAGCTGGAATTAGTAAAGTAAAAATTGTGTTTCAGGGTCCAATGCTGATGCTTTCTCTGAAGTCAAACTCAACCAGGATGATAAAGGTGCTATTTTACGTGTAGAACCAAGTCTTGCTGTAGCTGATGGCTTCTTGAATGATGCGTCTGATTTGATGTGTGATTCCACTGGTTCGTTAAAAGCTACTTCCAAGGACTCTCATCAGATAGAAAATGTTATGGGTTGTTTAGATCTACCCGTTCCTAATGGCTATATTTGTGATAAAACATCTACCTCAGACTTGTCCTCCTTGAACTCTCCTTTGGCAAGTCAAGAAACTTCCAATGAAATCATGAGAAGTAACCTCAATGACCATAAAGAAGTTTCAGTGAGTGCTCATATGTTGTCCCTTGATTCAAAATCTCTCCAAGATGTAGCTCGGTTGCCCCCAAAAACCACTGAGGAACTGGAGTCTTGTTGATATTAGTGGGTTGTCTGATTTTGAGCCCTGCGGTAGTATGAGTTCTTGCGATGTCCCTGTGGTGCTAATAGAAGGTGCTCCATATGTAAGTTCATTTTCTATTGGCTTTGCACTGTTCCCTTCCCTAAAAAGTCGCTTGGATTCGTTAAGAAGCCAATGATGTATGGGTTATTTAGTTTTTCTATTTGTCTCCTTTTCCTGTTTTAGGGGATCTTCGTGGCCATTTTTTAACCGGTGAATCTGTGCTGCCTGATTTTTAAACTATATAACAATTTAGCGACCCGTATACAAAGTTTATACCACATAGAGCTCTGCAAAGATGAGTTCCTTTCTGCAGTGATCCAATTATCTACCTTCCCGACATGCTCATGAACGCTGGGTTTATGCTTTCCTTGAGCCGAGGGTCTGTCGAAAACAACCTCTCTACCTTTACAAGGTAGGGGTAACCTTTGCGTACACACTACCCTCCCTAGACCCACTTGTGGGATTTCACTGGGTATGTTGTTGCTGTTGTTGTCGGAATATCTGTATACTTCAAATGGCATATTTACTGGAATATTTTAGAAGGATCTCTCTACGACATGAAAGGCTCTTTAGTTTCTCTCCCTCCAAGTGGTCCACATGATGGCTTGGGTCACAATGTTCAGATCTCTCTTTTTAGCCCCTTCTCTTGTTTCCTAGCATTGAAGTAGTTGCTTAGTACTTTCTTCAAAAAAAGTAGTAGTTGCTTTGTACTAATCGGCTTGAAGCAACTCCCAAACATTTAAGAATGAAGCAATTTGATAGACACTATCAAATAATTTCTTCTTTTTAATAATGAGCTGGATGTTTTCTGGTAGAATTCTTGTTTTGCTGTAACCGTCTCAGTTAATATCATGGTGTTTGATTAGATACTTAGTTTATTATATTCATTTCTTATCTACTATATTAGTGATAGTGAAAGAAAATACTATGTCAATGTTGAAAAGTTAGTTTGATAAAAAACATCATCTTTTACGATGTGACCAAACGAAACCAAAGTTGATTTGAGAGGTATTTTACTTGCCGTCAAGATTACTGCTAGCATTTAGGCTATTGTCAATATGTGCTTTTCTGAACGTGGCATGTCATTGTGGTACTTGCTCTTTTAGTCTTTAAGTGTTATGGTTATTCTGTTTCTGGTTGCCTGTTCTGTTGTTCCAACTTCCAACAGATTGTTAATTCCTGAAGTTTTAACTTGAGCTCTGAATTTCTATTTCTATTGCAGGTACGTTGTGTAGATTTTTGAAGATGTAACATGCTAATTTTGATCTTTAATTGAGCAACTGACACAGCCAAGTGTATATTCCTCCACGTAATTACGGACGTAAACATATTCGGTGCTATATTTTTTTAGTAGCTGTTTTTTGGTTGAAAGTTGTAGATATCCTACATGGCAGCGAAAGAATGAGTATTGATCAAGATAATCTGACCGACAAACTGGATTGGGATGTGTATATCTAGGCGTAGCTGTTTTGAGGTATGTATTTTGCGCCGTTTTAACTCTTTTGGTTGCGTTTATTAGGTAACCACCTTTTTGCACAATTTATTGCACGATAAGAGCATTCCTTTAGCTTCTTGCTGTGTATATTATGTCATTTGCATGGTAGTAATTTTCAATTGCATTACACCTTTTCCCTTTATTCTTTTTGGTTTTGATAAGTTATCTCTGTCCTTTTTCTCTGCTGTCACTCACAACTTGTATAGAATTTATATTTGTCCAAAGTAATTTTAGGATCGTCCTTCCATTTGAAATTTCATACTGGAGAAATAGTGGAACAGTGTCAGAGTAAAAGAGTTCAGAAGTTTTAGATTTGCCGTTGGTCATTTTGATAAAATTTATGCATGAGATAGTGATAAGGTTGGTTTAAATGAATATTTGTGGTGCTGCTGTAGTAGTAGGGTATGAGAACAAGTGAGAACTGGGAAGTTTGGAGAAGGAAGGCACACAAGTAAAAAATCGATGACTTCAAATGTGATTTGCTTCCTTTTTCCATGGTTACTTGAGACTTTCATTATAGCTGGTTAGGATTGGAACAAGTACCAATGGAAGGACTAACTAGACGCTGTTGTAATCTTGCTAAGTCATTTAAATCATTGGGTTTAACTCAAACTCAAGTCAAAATGTACTAGCTTGTGCACCTAAATGGCTAATGTGCATACCTACTCTCAGATGATTCTAAGTTTGATGTCAGTGAAGTACCCAAGTTTGTTGAGAAAGATGCAAAAGAAGATTGAAAAGTGATATTTGTTTCTAAAAATTAGACACTAGTGAGTTACAGGGAACTTTGTCAGTTTAACTATGATTCGGTGAAGCTTCCGCTTCACATTAAATAACATCTAAGTATTTGATGTTTGAGTTTTGTCCTCATTGTTACCCTGTTATAGGCTTCACTTTTTGTCTGCTGTTTTCTTGCGGGCTGTTGTGTTGTTATTAGATTATTTAATGCTGGATCTTCTACTTTTTTTTTTTGGTTTTCTTTTATTGGTACATATTATTTTTCTGTCTTTAACCTCCTTCGGCATTACTATGGTCTTATTAGTGGCATCAAGGTTAATCATCTAACTCTTATCCTATTCTCAATTTTTCATCAGCTCAACTGTAGAGAACCCGCTGAAGCTGCATAGGAATTGACGATGTAGTGTTCTTTTGTCTTCTTTCGTCCGTGTATATTCTGTAGATTGTTTCTTCTAGTAACTTTTGGTGCACCCAAGCCTAATTTTAGTTTGTTACCAGTATCGTCCGTATGAGGATTTGGTGTTTTGATGTCAGTTGAAATGACGCCCTTTTGATTGAAAGTGAGCTGTTTTTTCGTCTTTATTGGCATTTTATTTTCGAGATATCTGGAGCTGGTGTTCTCATGGTTGCCATTCTTCTGTTTTCTTGTGAGATGTAGAACTCTTCTGTTATGATCAATCTTGGGTAGAATTTTCTCACTCTCTACAATAACAATGCGAATGTTTATTTACACTTTGGTCCATGAGCTGAGAGTTTCCACTCTGTTCTAGTGCCCTATGATCTTTTGAAAAAACTTTGAATCTTGAAAGAATAGTTTTTTACTATATCTTGTCCTATAAAATCCGACTTAATTGTTGATATATTCATGGCAGGTTAAAAAGAAAGACCAGTTAAACATTCAAACAGATTTTATTTAGTTGCACATATACATTAAGGGGTTCTGTTGATGAATCAAACATGCGGCAATGTGACTCCAGAATTCGGTACGCGATGAGTAATAATACATGGATTTGATGCGATATTCTGATACTTGACTCCAGAAATATTGATCAGTACACATGGTCAAGTTTTTAGTTTGAAAAAAAATCTATATTAAAATTTATAATGCAATGTGACTTTGATATTAGGCAATTCTTATTTAAGTAGTGCTAATACACCTATTTTTTATTTCACTTAATCCTACTATTTTGCATGAAATAATCATACATATATAGTGAAGTTATCATTTTCGTTTCTAAACGTAATTTCTTATGACGAGATCAGTCCTTTTACCTTTTTGCCATAGCAATGGAACAAAATCATCCTTTTATATGTTTGTTTCATAATAAAATCCTAAAAGGTGATGTGATGAATCGCTGGAACTCGCCAGAAGGATTATGGCCGTGATGTGTACTTTATTTGGTCTATCATTGAACAAAAAGTGGGAATCTAAAAAGAAAGTATACAGCATGCATGCTTGAGTCTTTCCCCCCTTTTTTGTAACCAATTTCGTATTAAATTAGATTTATTTCGTCAAACAAGACTATAAAGCTCCATTTTATTTTTTCCTGGTAGTCTCTTTCGAAAGATACCAAAGGAGAAAATAAAATAAGAGGCAGAAGAGGGAAGAAAATAAGAAATGTAAAATAAAATAAAATAGAGCACATGAGTGATGAGACTAGCAGAGCAGTGGATACAGTATATTATATCCACCATCAAGTTCCTTCTCAAAAGAGTTGTGCTAACGCCAGGCCATGTTAATATAATAATTGGAATTATAAACCAATTATAACCCAACTTGTGCTCAGAAACCAAGTCATGTTTCACTGGCAAATTAAAATTGGCATTAAACTATTAAAATACCACATGCATTTTACTGATGTATTTCATATTCTTATGACAGAATCTTAAGCAACAGTGTTATTCAATGTTTTCACCCAAACAGCAAAAATCAAAACAAAGATTTACTGCTTTTGTCTTAAAGCTGCAACTAGTTTATCCAAGATAGTTTGGCTTCATCTGTACTCATAATATTTGCTTTCTGTGAAACAAAGCATGCCATATATTTATCACCGTTTTGGCATATATAAAAATTACTGATGAAGCAATCTTCTGGTTAATATAACATGGTGTCAGAATAATTACTGTATATTTATATATAGTACGGTTGTATATAGCAAATTATCATGTATCACTGCACTTAGAGACAAACTTCAATGATTTTCTTTTCTTTTGACACTTTAACGGATAAAGATTTTAAATTCAAAAGAAATTGTGTGCCCACAGGTTTTGTTGCCATCCTGATGTACTGTACTGGTTATTATTCCTAGAAGATGTGGTTTCGTCTTACTTAAGGGTCGTTGTTTCCCTATTTACAAAAATGATTTCAGCATATAATTAAATATTCAATATTTAAATTTCACGTTGCTAATAATCTAAATTGTGCGAGAATTTGTTATTTAATACTATAGATTACAATATGAGATAAGAATGTATGTAGAATAACTATCTTCAAGTAATTTTCGCATAACAATCCTTACATTATTCTTGAGTAACCATTTCTGTATTATTAGTTAGGGCATAAATAATCTATGAATTATTATTCATAACGAGCATGTATAGCCAAATGATCCCTTAATATTTTTATAGGAGTAACACATTACTCCACGACAAAAGAAAAGAGCAAGAAGAAATATTAGAATATCGAAATCTTAAGTTGCTTGTAAAAGGACTTTACGATATGACACATCTCAAGAAGCACAACAGACGAATTGACCGTTTAAAGGTGTAACCAGCTACATAGCTCCTATTTTCAACTTCTGGAGGGGGTTACTAACATTATATACTTAAAACCGATAATACATTCTACCTTGTTGGTTAATACTATATTGTACCTTTACAAGTGTAAATTAAGGTAAAAATACCTAGTTTTAACTGTGATTAAGTGATAGATATGTAGGAAGAACGCATATCTTTCATTTATTGGATGATGTAACAACTAACACAAATATGACATGCTCTTTCTAACCCATCTTATCTTTAATTTTAGTTACTCCATTTTGTAGTTAACACTATGAATTATTGAGACTCATTTACACTGCATTTGGACATAGATTTGATTGAAACTTGAAAAAAGAGTTTTTGAAGTTGTGTTAAAAATAATTTTTGAAAGTTAAATTTGTGTTTAGGCATGCACTTTATTTGAAGAAAAATTGAAGTTTTGTGTATGAAAGAAAAAATTTCACCGACAAACTGCCATAAAAATTTCATCAGTTTTTGGGAACTTGGAACTTTTTAAATATTTTTTCTCAAAATATGATCATATTTCATAAACAAATAATGTTTTCAATGTTTTTTTTTGAGAAATTGAAGCCAAAATCTATGAACAAAAGGGAGCGTAATATAAAAGTAGGGCTAAAGAAAAATTTCTTCATTACTAAGGGTTAACTAGTCGTTAATTATTGGTTTTGCATGTTGGGCTACTGGTGCAAAATCACAATACCCGAAAAAGAAAAGCAGAAAGCTTTAGGGACTCTGTCCTCTGTCATAAAGAAGCCTAGTTAAAAGGAAAGCATATAGCACTGCAGAGGAAGCTCCACCCTACTAGCCGCTACTGAACCTAAGCCTCTGCCATTTCCAGGATACTAGTTCAAAAGAACTCAATTTAAAAAATTACCAAGTCTTTACAAAATGTTTATAATCTTCAAACCAAGGTAGATTATTTGCTACACCAAGTAAATGTAATCTGATAATATAAATTTTTTTATACTGAAAGTTATAAAACTTATATTAAAAATAGTTAAAAAAATAAGGGATATTACAGGAAGTACTTTCGTAGCAAGTGACTTCCGCATTAGGATCTGGAAAAGCTGGAAAAACAAATACTCCAACAGAGACAAGATACTGAAAAAGGATGATAAAGAAGCTTGGATTCATACAACAGCTGTTTAGGAGGGGACCATATTAATATCTCCACCATAATGTACATGTTCATCAACTGCCCAAAATTATGCAAAATGCTTACTGCTAATAGTAGTTTTTTATAATCTCAATAATTTTACTGAGTACCTTGTACAATATCGAGTTACTCAAATAATAAATTATTCACTAGGATTCTTGTAATCAAGAATGCATTTTTGTGAACATGACTTACTTGTGCTGCCGGCTGATGGATCTACATGTGATTTTGGGCAATTACTACGTATCCCTTTTGATGACATGAGGCAGATAACAAGGTCGGCAAATGCACCAACTATGTACTTGTGTGTACTCTTCGGATTTAATGTAAGATAACACATGAGAAGCTCATGTAACGAATCCCAATTGTCACTCAACTCACGCGCCTCCACCATTTCTTGCATTGATCGTCGGAAATCCAAATAAGGGTCCGGCGAGTACGTCGGAATGGCAATGCTGCCGTCGATAACGGTGTCGGATTCCGGCGGTTCTACCGACGATGAAGTTGATGCCAAAGAAGATGACATGGATGCTGATGATGAGTCAATGATAGAGTTGGAATGGCCAGGTGATGCAAAAAAGAAACGTTGGGAGGCATAAACAGTGGCTAAATCTGGAACAGTGGCTAATTCTGAAATACAATCGTATTCATCGGAGATAGTGGTGGAATACGTGGATGACGATGTGGGATTGGAATTGCAGTCTAATGATAAGTCGTAAAGGGTGTTAAAATTTTTAATAGAGTTGCAAAAATGCGTACTATGATCTTGTTGATGTTCATTATTAAGGTCGGACGAGGATTGTGGTGGCAATGGACGTTTGAGTTTAGTGAAACAACGATTAAGGTTTGTTCCAAGTGTATTTCTTGGCATATTGTATGGTTGATGAGAGAGGTGAGGGAAATGGGAAAGGCCAAGGAAGAAAAATGGTAAGGTAAAGAGTAGAGTGAAGGGTAGAGAGAGGAGTGGGGAAGTCGAGCCAATATATATATTTTAAGATGTCGTAAAAGTTAAGGGTGTGGATCACCTGCCTATAATTAAATGAGGTTTTTCTTGTGTTTTGTGTTTACTAGGACTTCCTCAGATAGTCTTTTGCATTATTCTTTTTTTTCCCCTGTTAGTTGTGTATTTATGGACTCATATCTTACGCATTTGGATGGACAAACTTTTTTAAATTTTTGTTTCAGTTTTCCAAATGATACATCGGCAAAATGAATCTACTAATCGTGTAAACTATTTCATTGTTGTTCTATTTTATCTTAATTTTCAAGGTGCTTATTTCACTTTTATGAATGGTTATATTTAGTGATTTTTGGATGACATGATAATTAAATATATACGTTGTCAATGTATAGAAGTAGTTGAACTAGATCTAATACTCTCTCTCTCTCTATATAGATATATATTCCCTCCATTTTAATTTCCGTGAATTTATTTGACTTGACACGAAGTTTAAGGAGAAAAAAAAATGTTTAAATTTGTGGTGTAAAATAAGGCATATATATTTTATGTGGTTATAAATCATTGCATAAATGTATATTGTTTCTAAATATAGATTGAGGTCATTTTATTTGGTACGGACTAAAAAGAAAATAGATTAACATATATTGAAATTGAGGGAATAGAATATTTTACTAATTCAAACAATGAAGTTAAAGTCCAAAAATTCATTATGCTTTACTAAAATATGAGTAACATTCTTCTTGTCTCGAATTGGTTTTGTTACGAGTTGTTGGAATAAGTGTTTTATAAATTTGAAATAATGTATTTGATAAATTAATATACTTACAAAAGA